GCCTTCCTTCTTTGGTGGAAATCCTGGATCTCTCTTCCTTGGGCTTGATCTGTGTCATTCTCATCCTGTCATCTCTCTCCCTCTCTTTAAATCTTTTTCCATGGTTTTGCTCTCATGTCTTTCTTCCTGTCTGAATTCATCAACTACGTGTACAAACTAGCTGGTTGTCTCATCGCTTCAGAACAGTTACAAGTGCAGAACTGGTCAGTGAGATGTAGCCTGTTTCGTGGGGAATGTCACTGTAACCTCACTGCCTCACTGGCCTGTGCTGGCCACGGTTGCATAGCTCATTGATTATGGACTCCAAGTTTGTCAGTTTACAAAATAATGGAGAGGTACAGAAAGTGTGAGAAAGTACACAATGATTGTCCTCAGCCCTGCCTAATAGAGCCGTTATGTATTTTTAAATAGGCTTCTGTACTTTTGTATTCATACCAATTTTCACATTAGGAAAAACATAAAACCCATAATACAAACATGCTTGCTGTATTCCGTCTAGTTTTTCCCATTATTATATCCAGTGCATTTCTTTGGTGAGGTCTCCTCTTGACTTTGTTTCATCATTTACTGCTCGGCCCAAGCAGAACATCATCAGCCATTTCTTTATGCAACCAAAAAAGGCTCCTTGATAAGTACGGACTGTGGCTTGCCACCTTATTGTATGGCTGTGAACACTAAGTTGTCTGTATGAAGCACCTCGGGGGGTGCCTGTCACCTAGCAAGTTCTCAGTGAATACCGATCACCACCACCACCCTGCTGTTGTTCTGGCATTGATATTACAGGCAAATGAGCAATTGATCTCTCATCAGATCATAACGAGCATTCTGATGCTGAGTGCGTGTGCGTGTGCGTAGCCCACACAGAGTAGTAAAAGGAACTGTTCTTGGACTATTCCTTGGACCCTGGGTTAATTATTTAGAAAAATATCAGTTTCCAGCCACACTTAACAAGCTGGGACCCATGATGGCATGTGAGTAATTCCAGATGGGGTGAAAAAAAAAGGGGGGGAGTGCAAAGCCATGCAACCCCTTTCCAAAAAATTTAAGAATTAACGTAGGTGAACACTTAGCACAGATCGGGCTGGGAAGACCAAGTGGTGGGAGCATCGCAAAGGAACACGATTTACAGATTCAAACATTCAACAGTGAATGGCAAAAAGTAACAGGAAAATTGAAAGCTTTAAAGTTTTTACAAGACAAAGACCTCATGGTGATCATATTAAAAGGTGTGTGTGTGTGTGTGTGTGTCTATAAAGACCCTATTGTAAAAGTGATCAAAATATGTTAACAATTTGCAAAAGAAATATGAAATAAATGAGTAGCCAGCATTGGAAAAATAAAATGTTTAACCCTACTAACATTGAAAAATAACATCGTATTGTACAACTTCACACAATTTTGTGCTTGTCAAATCAATAACGTCTTTAAAGAAGTGTTGAGAAACCCTTTTATGAGACACTTATGAGATGAGCAGTTGCACCTGCCCTGGGTGAAAGTGGACCTTATCATTAGCCAATCGGAAAAGCACTTGGACAAGCAGCTTGCCCTAGTGAAGAAAACCATAGCCTCAAGAAACCTACAGGGATGTTTATCGATGCCTTATTGAAACAGGGAGCAAAATAACAAGCAACTTACACTTCCTTCTTTATACTTAAAACACGTTTCCCTTCAAAGCATCCAATTCAGTGATGCCTGCGGAAGAATGCCCTCACCTGTGTCTGTTGGCAGGTGTCAGCGAGGTGGGTCCCTGGTGATTGAGACCAGCCTTCAGCTCCAGGCCCGACTCTGGAGGGACTTTGCTATTGCCGTAAAGGCAATGGGATATTCCTTTCGAAAACACAAATCTCTAGCAGTTGTGGGTAAGCTCCCTGGAAAAAACACTGCCTGCAAGATAAAAACAAGGTTGAGCCAATTATCAATTACAAAAAGTTGAAATATCAGGAAAATGTGTGTTTGGTGTAAAACCCAAGCCCCTGCCACACGTTCCTTTTCTCCCCCCTGGACTTTTGCACCACGACGACACAGGGCCAGAAGAATGCTCATTTACTTTCAGTTTGGGATCACCTTTTTTTTTTTTCTCTCCCCTCTAAAAACAGAACCAAATGTTACAATCTGAAGGCAGCAAGCTGTTAGCCCCCCTTTTTCTAGACGTAGGACTTAGGGTTGAAGTTCACCCCTAGCCAAGGCGTCCAGATGCATCCTCCATCGTTTGACTGAGGTGTGAGTGTTGCAGTCTGTGGCCTGCCTGGAAGGACAGGCCAAGGGCAGTCGCCTTTGAGTATTCAGGGAGGCCAGAGCCTTGGGAAATATCGTAAGAAAGAATCCCGTGCAGCTCTCAGCTTTTCCTGCCTTTTGGTATAACCTTTGTTCCGGCTGTTTTCTTACTTGTTCTAGCCTGAGAATGTCCCTTTCCTGTTCTCTGTCACCCTTTCTCCCTGCTCCACTTCTTCTTCCCTCCCTCTCCCTCTTTCTGTGCATGTGTGATACATATGGGTATGCATATATTTATAATATGTAGATATGTATATATGCAACTGAGTGTAAGGTGTATGTATGCAAATGCAGAACGTACATGGAGTAGAGGACTAAGTGGCAGAAAACGAGCGCTTTGGGGTCTGCCATGTTGGGTCAGGCCCAAGCACATGGACCATCCTCCACTGCTTTCTCAGGTACATTATGGGGAGCTGGATCAGAAGCAGAGCAGCCAGGGCTGGAGCCAGCACCAATACGGGGTGCAGTTACCTGCTGTGCTATAGCGCCAGCTCACTGCTGTCTGTGTGTGTTTAATTCCATACTACTTAATGATTGTTAAGGCATTTCATATGTGCGTAGCATATATTAAGTTAGGCTTTAATCTTAGTATCTTGCTGTTTTATAATACTGACCAATTAAAGTTTATATCTGCCACTTTGTTGCTAGACTTGGTGCTGGGGGGGGGCGGGGAGGGATGCAGGGGGCCTGCCCTCAGGGTGCTTTGGGTTGGTTGGAGTGTCATCAGGCACTGACCAGTTGCCAGGTGGTGTGTTTGGCCTGGGGCAGAGCTGAGTACTTCCTGTGCATTATTCACTCTATGAAGCTGACAGCTGCACTTTGATGCCCTACACCACAACACTGGCCCTGTGACTCAGGTTAGTCACAGGTAATCTTTCCCCTCAGATACTTTGTGTCCCCTCCTAGTTAGAGTCCCTCTTGGAAGGCTGCAGAACTGCGTGATCACAGGAGGCTGGTTGCTCCATCCTTAACATCTTGACTGATTTAATTTTATATCCACAAAGTCAGTTAACTCTGTGTTTAGCCACTGATAGTCATTTAAAACATACTTGCCTTTAAGTCTTACTAATTTCTCAAATCAATGCTAATATTCACTGTCTTTGTTTTCCAAAAAGCTCATACGTTTCAGTTCTGGTGGTTCCTTTTTTTTTTTTTATTATGAGGTTTGTCTTTTTTTTTTTAAATATTTATTTATTTTATTACAAAGTCAGATATACAGAGAGGAGGAGAGACAGAGAGGAAGATCTTCTGTCCGATGATTCACTCCCCACGTGACCGCAACGGCCGGTGCTACGCCAATCCGAAGCCAGGAGCTGGGAACCAGAAACTTCTTCCAGGTCTCCCACATGGGTGCAGGGTCCCAAGGCCTTGGGTCGTCCTCAGCTGCTTTCGCAGGCCACAAGCAGGGAGCTGGATGGGAAGTGGAACTGCCAGGATTAGAACCGGGGCCCATATGGGATCCTGGCATGTTCAAGGTGAGGACTTTAGCGGCTTGGCCACGCTGCTGGCCCCTCAAGTTTGTCTCTTTTTTAATGTGTCTTACTTGATAGACAAAGTAACAGGCAGAAGGAAGGAGATCTTCATTTGCTGGTTGACTCTCCAGGTGGTCTGCTGCCAAAACCAGGATCCTGGAGTTCCATCAAACTCTGCCATGTGGGTTGAGGGACCTAGGCACGTGGACCATCTTCTGCCCTTTCCCAGAAGCGTTAGCAGGGAGCTGGACTGGAAGTAGAGCAGCCGGGACTTGAACCAGCACTCCCTTATGGGACACTGGTGTTGCAAGTGGCTGCCAAGACCAGCCCAGAATATTTGACTATTTTTTTTTTTTAAGAAAAGGAAGCTTTATACCTATCAAATGTCTACACTCTTAAACAAGAATGTATACTTCCGTAACATGTGTGCTTAGGCTACTATATGCTGTGTTTCAGTAAACAGACTGCTTTCAAAGGCTGGATTTTGGGGAGTGTGAGGGTTAGGTGGAGAACTGATTGCATGTCTTCCTGAATTCTTGGTTGGCAGGTGTGATGATCTCCACTCTTCTAGAAAGGAAATGAAACCAGAACAAGGCATCAGTTAGCAAAGCAGCAGAGTGGGCAGACAATTCTTCGCACAGACAGAAAATGAATTGAAGGCTTTAAACCACTGCTTTTGTAAAGTGTAATATAATCAGACGAGCACCCTGAGGAGACCATGAAGCTGAGTTCTTCATTTGCAAATGCTTCCACAATGAAAACAGGATTTGAGTTGAATGATGTCAGGGTTACTCGCTGAACTTGGCTCACCCGGCCCTGGCTGTGCGTGGGCATACTTAACACCAGTGGCCCTCATTTACTTTTCTTTTTATTAAACAATAGTTGGTGCCTGTGCCACTGGGATGGTGCTTAGAATACTTATGCATGGGTATTTTTACTGTTTTTTTTTCTTAAGCAAGTGTGTTCATCTGTCCATAGTGAATTACATTCATGACTTAGGATTCTGCTTTAAGTTCCTTTATAATTTTTGAAAAGAACTCTTGATTTATATGTATGTCTACTACTCCAGGTACAGAAATTGAGTGTTAGGTGCTTACAAATGTGTACTTTTTTTTTTCCTCGTGCTCGATGCAGTTGTTTCAGTGCTATGGTGAATACAATCCCAGTCCAACTCAGACTGTCTTTATTTTTGCTTTTTGGAGTTTTTTGGGGGTGGGGTGGTTATGACTCAAAATATTGTATTTCCTGTATCCGCAGCTGGCTTTAGAAGAAGTTTCCGGCTAAGTAGAAAAGATAAGAAAACAAATAAATCCATGTATGAATGCAAGAAGAGCGACCAGTATGATACAGCTGACGTGCCCACCTATGAGGAGGTGATGCCATATCGGCGACAGACGCACGAGAAGTACAGGCTGGTCGTCTTGGTTGGTGAGTGCTGGCTCTTGCGAGTCCTTCTGAGGAAATCAGGGAAGGAGTTAGCAGTGGCTTCCGGGTGCAGTGTGCTTGGAGCTGGCGAGCCAGAGGGCCCACATCTGGATGGGCACTGTCCGTCCTGTGTATGATGCCATCTTTTGCTTTGCTGTGTGCCTGTGTGCGTGGGTGCCTTCCGAGCCACCCAGGAGGCACAGAGGCTGGCGGTGTGCTCTTGGAAGCAGTGTGGAGAGGGGGCAGCCAGATCTGTGGTTCTCATGCCCATCAGTGAATCACGTCATAGATGAGCTTTCCTCAACACAGCACCTGTTCCTGTGCACTCGCTTCTAGGCAGCAGCATGGTGCAGGGTGAACCGACCTAAGCCAGAAACCCAAAGCATCCCAAATCTGGAACTCTAGGACTCTGCTAGGACACAAATGGGAAATTCTACCCGACCCCTGTGACAGGGCACATTCAGCAAAACCTCCTTGGAAATACTGTTTTATGTTTCCTCCGGGCTGTGTATAAATGCATATGGGGAAAATAAACGGAGTCCATGCTGGGATGTGGTCTCCTCCTCAAGGCATCTGATTATATACTTACAGATCATTAAAGAATCCGAAGTCCTAAGTGTCTCCGGCCCTAAGCAGCCTGGACAAGAGAGACTGCACCTATCCCAGCTCCCGGTGGCATCCAGGCTGTTGGCACAGTGAACTGTCAGGGTTGAAGTCTAAGTTATTTCAGGCTAGGGAGTCACTTTATAGAAGCAGATGTAAGTAGGAATAGACACTGTCCCACTGGGTAGCACAGTGTGTCCTCGTTAGCAGCCTGAGTTTGGCTCCAGCTTCCTGCCGATGCAGGCCTCAGGAGGTCGTGGGGATTGACAGCTCAGGCAATTGGGTTTCTGCCATCTGTCTGCATGGGAGACCTGGCTTCTGCTCAGGACGGAGGTGGCTGCAGGTGTTTGTGGAGCGCTCCAGCAGAGTGAAGCAAGACTGCTTCTTCTCTCTGTCCCTCCGACAAATACATAGAGGGTGGCAGTTGATTGAACATGTGTTAACGTCCCAGCAGGTTCTGCCTGGTCCCACCTTTACACAGGTGGGCAACACAGGCTTGCTTGTGACTCCATCCTACCCCTGGTGCTCCTATAAAAATATGGAGAGAATGGAATTCCCAGGATCAAGGCTAGTGCTTGGAAATGAAGGCCCATGATGTCTCTGGTCCACTCTTGCTTTGACAGGGTGAGCAAGATCTGGCCTGAGGGCTGTAAAAGGCACCCCAAATCCCTGGGCCTGGGCCAGCCAAGGCAGCTGACTCAGAGTTGACTAAAGGATGCAGTTGGCTCACTTTTCAAGTTGAAAAGTTTGTAGAACCCATGAACGACATTAGGAATAACTGGAGAATAGTGCCCCAACTTTATAAACTCAAGATGAGGGTTCCAACAATGGAGTCTTTGGAACGGCCACGCCCGTGGTTCTCATTCAAGCAGACGGTTGAGAGTCCTCCGTCTGACAGCGCTGGAGGTGATGGCTAGCACCTGCTGCTGCTGGCATCGCTCAAGTGCAGTCCTACATCTGTCAGTGGAGTTCAGCATTTGCTACCACAGCAGTGTCACTTGCTGAGTCTATCCTTAGAGGCCAGTAGAGCTGCCTAGGACTTGTGGGGTCCAGCTGGTCCATGTAGAGTGGCACTGATGGTCCGCCCAACCCCCAAACAGGTTCTCACACAGCGCAGATAAATGGCCTGGTCTGCACTGGGGCTGCTTGAGACCTCCTTCCCTTTGGGCACCCACTGTCCCTGCCATGCCTCGTCTGTTACCAGTGCCCCTGTTGGCTGCATCTCCTTTTGCCCATTGTGTCTTCTTACCCTTGGCGGAAGAGACGGAGCTAAAGTAGTAGAGGCAGTGTGCCTGGCTGCTTTCCCTCCCACCAGGCTGGCTGTGTCACTAATCATGACTCTACCACTGGGCTGTTAGTAGGCTATCTGAGCAAGAGGGTGGAGGGACAGCCTTTGGTTGCTTCTTTCCTTTCCCAAGGATGAGGCTGACCATGTCTGAGCAGTGACTGAGGGAAGGAGTGAAAGAAACAATGACAGATAGTTCCCAGGGGTGGGCCTTGTGGTGCAGCCTGGGATGCCCTCATCTTGTATAGGAGTGCCTGGGGTCAGGTCCCACCTCTGCCTCTGACACAGCTTCCTGCTCATGTGCATCTGGGACACTCGGACCAAGTGTTATGCTGATGCCAGTCACATGGGAAACCTTGAGAGCGCCTGTGCAGTCCAGCTGCTGCAAATGGAATAAACTAATGTCTAGGTTTCTCTCTTTCTCTGTCACTCAGCCTTTCAAATAAGTAATTAAAAAAAATACAAAAACAGAAAAACATTCTCCAGAAGTGTGTCCAGGTTGGTGCTGCCTCGTGTATCTTGAGCATGACCTTGGAGCTGGGGACGGGCCTGACTGCTAACACACTGTGCCTATGTTTAAGATCCAGCTCTGACTCAGGGCTTCAGCCTCCCACTCATCCCCAGTCTGGAGGCAGCGGATGATGGCTCAGGCCATTGGCTCCCTGCCACCCTCTGGCTGTAGACTTCAGCTTCCACTCACCCCCATCTGCCCTCCAGTGTCTGTGTCACTGCCTATTGAATGGGAATGGTGGCTCATCTTAAAGTTATGGTGCAATCTACAGGTGCCCATTGGCTCTGCCTGCAATTCCCTGAAGGTACCTGGGAGGGAGGACAGGGATGCCCAGATAGAAGAGGGCAGTACCCCAGGCTGTCCAGGTCCCTGAGAGGACTCGGTGACATAGGGCCTGAGATCCCCAACCCAGAGTGGGCTGGGCCCTCTAACTGTGTGCTTTCCAGGACCGCATATATCCTTTGGCACTAGTAATTAACAAATGTCTTAGGCTTTGAAAGCATTTGGGAAGGCCCTGAAGCTCTGGATTTTTTTTTTTAGTAGCATTTTCCTCATTTTTAAAGATTTACTTTTATTGAAAAGTCAGATTTACAAAGAGAAGGAGAGACAGAAACATTTTCCATCTGCTGATTCACTCTCCAAGTGGCTGCAGTGGCCACAGCTGAGCCAATCCGAAGCCAGGAGCCTGGAGCCTCTTCCAGGTCTCCCATGCAGGTGCAGGGTCCCAAGGCTTTGGGCCGTCCTTGATGGCTTTCCAAGGCCACAAGCAGGGAGATGGATGGGAAGTGGGGCTGCAGGGATTAGAACCAGTGCCCATATGGGATCCTGGCGCATGCAACATGAGGAACTTAGACATCAGTCTATCACGCCAGGCCCCTTTTTCCTCATTTTTAAAAGATTTGTTTTTATTAGAATGACAGATTGGACAGAGAACAGGAAAGTAAGAAAGATCTCCCATCAACAGTTCACTCCCTAAATGGCTTCATTACCCAAAGCTGAGCTGATCTGAAGCCAGGATCCAGGAGCTTCCTTCAGGTCTCTCACCTGAATGCCAAGACCCAAGGGCTTGGACCATCCTCTACTGCTTCTCCAGGCTTTAAGCGGAGAGCTTAGTGTGAAGTGGAGCAGCCAGGACAGAAACCAACCCCCTTTTGGGATGCCGGTGCCACAGCGTGAAGGATTAGTTTGTGGTACCACCACAACAGCCCCAAGTTCTCCCTGTTTTTCAAATTTGATCATGTCTATTGATTTAGTTTCAAGATCCCTAACTCCTCTCGTATTGTTTGGCTGTTTAGTTAGTCCCCTGAGTTAACTTTTTCCCTTTATATTTTTTTGGTGTTGATTAGGAAGATATCCCCTCATTCCTTCTATCGTGTTTTCTGTTCATCAGTCAGGAGGGTTATGTTCCTGTGAGTTTCCCCAGGGTTCCTCTTGCGGAGGCCAGCTGTTGACGCTGCCGGCTGCACGAAAGGCTCTGTATTTGGGATTTGTCCATCATACTCATCTTGGGACTGCCAGGTGTCTGTTGATTGTGTTCCTCCTGATGACCCCATCACTTCTGTCTTGTTATTTATAGGCCGCCTACGTTTGCTGCCTGTCCTGAATACCCTGAGCATAGTCTCATACAGTTTTGGGGTGGTGTTATGGTTTTCTGGGGAAGAAAAAGCTAACCTGCCAGGTAGATCTAGACCTGGGGGGCACGGAAGCTGTGCACCCCAGTTTGGTTTTCCATTGTTGGTCTGCCTTCTCACGTTTTCCAACAATGTGAGAATTGGGTGAACCAGGTACTTTGTTTCATTATGTCCTAAAATATTTTTTTATTTTTCTTATTTGAAAGCCAGAGTTTGGGAGAGAGTACTCCATCCTGTTTCACTGCACAAATGGCCTGAATGGCTGCAGCTGAACCAGCCTGAAGCTGGGAGCTTCGTCTGGGTCTCCTACGTGGGGGCGGGGGCCCAAGCACTTTGGCCATCTTCCTCTGCTTTCCCAGGTACATTAGCAGGGAGCTGGGATAGAAGTGGCACAGCTGAGACTCATACCCACACCTTTACAGGATGTCAGCTCCATAGACAAGGCCTTTGCCTACTATTTTACAGTGCCAACACCTGATGCCAACATTTAAATCACAGTTCACGGACTTGCCAGTGCTGCTGTGAGCTCTTCATGCTCACACACCGCTGCGTAGAGCTGAACCCCAGGCCTTCATGGAGCTTGAGCTGTTCTGACCACTGCTGCCCTGTGCAGCCTTGGCATGAGCCCCACCCCTGGGGGAATACCAGAATGAGGGTGAAAGCCACATGGGAACTGCATTGCCCTGCGTGCCCTCTTGGAGCTCCTGACTCTGCTCTGGCTGCTCCACTTGCTTTACAGAGTGCCAACTACTGCTCTCTAGTGTGTTGCTGGGTGGAACTGGACCTCACCACAGCTGAATCCTCTCTCTCTCAGAAATAGCATGACATCATGACAGAGTCTCAAAAGGTCATAGGGACACACAGGACTGTCAGGGCATCATCCTGGTTACCTTTGCAGATCAACTCATGCCCCACAATGCTCCATGGTCCATTATGTGACACAGTTTCATAGGCTCTGGGATTCCCCCAACCC